AACTGTCTTGATATTTGTATTTAAAATTCTGACTTTGGCGTTTGTTGATAGTTGTTTCTGAGTTACAGATGTTCTTCAATTGTAGAAATGTAGCCCTCGGCAAAGCAAGGGATGTTTTGTTAGTCAACTGTGTCTGTCATAAATGCATATTACTGTTCTACATATTACTGATTTTGGTTTTATCAACAGTAAATAGCCACATTTTAACTAAAGCGAATGTTGTAAACGACTGGGAAAAATTCCATGAAATATGCATCATTTCACTTAAATGATGCTGTCAGTTTTATTTAACGATATTTTTCATGCTGAGAAGATTCTGTAATCTTCATTAAATAAGATACTCTTAAATTTATGAAGTGTCAAGTCATATCCTTACACGGAATTCTCAAAACCAGAGGAAAAGAGGTAGACTAAAGAATACATGGCGCTGAGAATCCAAGAGAGAGAGATTCATAGAATGGACACCATGTGGTCAGAACTGGCAAGAAGAGCATAGGATTAAATTGGTTGGATAATCCTAGTTGGATGCCTATGTTCCACGACGGGCAACAGGTGTAGTTAAGTAAGTAAGTAAGTAGGTAAAGATTAACATGTAGCCGATATAAAGTATGACAGTGTAATGCATGGGATACAAAACGTAGTTTTGATGTAAGACCATTTAATGAAACACTTTTTAGGTCGCCTTACGCCTGTTACCCCTAACAGAGCGTAGGCTGCTGACCAGTATTCTCCAAACTATTTTGTCTTCGGCCTACCATCCTCCGCTTGGAACCTCTCTCGAGCTACTGCTGGTCCCAAGTTCGGATAAAGAGGGAGGGTTAGGTATGTGGTTAACAACCTAATTCCTTAAAAAACTAACTAAAATGCTAACTCGAAGAAACTCCTGCAACACACTCTTTATAGACTGATAGAGACAGAGAATGAAAATCATAGTTTTGAGGTTATCAGATAAATTAACCAGCCACAAATAGTTTTCAATTTGAAATATGCATAAATAGGTTAAACTTAGCACATAAATACCAACTCAATGAAGTGGGATAGTCATGAAAAATCGTAGAATGGTAATCGTATCATTAGGCAAAGAAACTATAATTCCATGAGAGAATATAATTTGACATAATAACGATGATATATGATAATTTTAAAATTGATTAGAAAGGGTGAATGTTTATGGTGTGGTTTTGTTCTATGAGCTGAATGGTTTGATTATGGAGCTTTGATCGCTTTTCTTCTGAACACATCCTCATCAGCACAAACTTCAGGTAGAAGTGAAGTATTTGAATTTCTCCACGTATTACTCATTTAATTTTGTTATAGACATGCTTTGAGATATAACATTATCTTTGTCTGAACTTTCAAGAGTAGATCTTCTACCAGGAGATTCATTGGTTGACTTAGAATATCTTGATGACAAAATGCAGAATCTTATGACTACCCTGAGCAACAATGCAAGCATGTTCGGGATGCGATTCTCTCCAGTCGAAATGCAAAATGTTGCTTTAGGATTGGCTTGTATCAGCAACTGAACTAGTGATAGGGAATGAAGAAGTCAAACGTGTAGATCGCTTCACTTATCTGGGGAGTCTCATCAGTGCTGATAGCCTGGTTGATTGACTGATTGATTGACTGATTGACGTATCAGTCATAGCTTGTCCTAATGACTGCGATGTTGATTGGTTGTTCTCATATGTGGAAAAATTCACTCTCACCTGAAGTTTGCACTGATGATGTTGTGTTCAGAAGAAGCTAAACAGCCAAAACATCCTCCTGAGTGATAAAGCTTACTCCACCATCTCAAGAGTGAATGTATTCTTTCCATTGTGATACAATCTGAACCATGTCATTTTATTTTGTCTTCAATCAATTGGTTACTATAATAATCGTAAATGACACTCTAACCAATTATTGAACATTCAATAAAATGACACCATTCAATTGTCAATGACTTTTTAGACGCCATTTTTATACAATCATAGACAACAATCATTATCATTGATGACTCATTCACATATCAGTCAATTTCTTATTCGCTAAATCGAAACTAAATTACTAAACAAATAAATTGTTCCGTGAGTACATATTAGAAAATGTTTACTTTACTTGTTGATGAAAAAAATGTTTGAATTCAGTCAACATCATCATGTCAAGGTCACAATGTAAAAACATAACATGTAGTTTCTTTTTTTTAAAAAAAACGTTTACGTTTGCATTTGTGTTTTCTTATGAATAATTTATCATAAATAAACAGATTGGTGTTTCTTGTTTTTAAATTATTTCGGTATTTGTTGTGGTACTTCACATTTGTTGAGTTTTATTAAAATCATGAAACAGTCAGTCAGTTGCAACGTAGAACTTCGTACGTATGTACATAAGTTCATGTTGCCATACCACATTAGCACAGAGACGCACTAGGTGGCTGTTTCATCCTAGTATTATGCCTCTCAGTAGTATGCATTCACAATTTCGCTAGTAAGAATCGAATCCAGCATCTTCGTACTTATGCGCGAACGCTTAACCTTTAGACCAATGAACTGGGATCCAGTGGTGTTATTGTCTAACTTCGATCAATCCACGGTCTTACCCAACCTTATCCACTGTCTTTAATGAGTACTGCTTTTCTCACGAACATGACTGAACTCTACCAGTCACGACTTGCCATTAGAACTCGGAGCAACTTCTTCATAGAGCTAATCATCAGTGAGCAAGTGGTAATTTTCACTATAGGGTTGTGGATGCGCACTGCTGATGAATCCCATAGCGGAACAAAATAGTTATACAACTCTTCCGAGTTTCTAATGGTCATCTAACACTGATCGATTTATGATTTCAATTTTAATATAAATTACAATAAGTATAACTGAAAAAAGAACTTTGTAAAATTGAATGAAATGGCCATGTTTTGCTTGTAACTAACTTTCTAATGGTATTCAAACGTAATTTCAATGAAACTCAACAATACCCAAAAACTCTATTGTGATTGGTTAGCAGACCCTAATCAGTTCGACTTAATCTACTTATTTAACTCAGATTAATAGTCAGTAACTTTATGTTATGATGTCAACCTTAGTATTCTTCTAACTTACTCTTATTATTGGTAAACATTGAACTTATAAGATAGGCTTTGATATCTTTTGTGAATGAGTACACGTCGTAGGTATCTAAACTGTTAAAATATTTACAATCTCATCAATCAATAAACTATATTTCTTTAGTATTCTATATCTTATCTGAATATCACTTAGTTCAGTAATGTAATGCAAGCAGACAGACAGAGACAGAAACAATGTAGAACTTCGTACATAAGTACATCAGTTCAGGTTGCCACACTACATCAGCACAAAGACGTCACAGTCAGTTCGAATCCAAGAGTGATAACGATAGTAGAAGTATTAACAGTGATGGAGAAGATTAGGGAGTGAAGATATGATTCGAGAAGTATAATTCAGTGATATAAATTTAGAAGGAGAAAGATAGAGATGATGAGGTATTCAGAAGTATCGAATCCGTTACCCGATCGAAGCTGCTAATTTGACGTGGTGGTCGTGCTTGACTATCGTAATCACCCAAACGAACTATATTGGCTGCAACATATGTTCCTGCAGGTTCTACCATTCCAGGCAGGTCGACTGGAGAACGACGATGAGACTAAAAGTAGCTACTCAAGGTCTGAGGGCGAAGTCGTACTGCTGACTGACCGTAAAGGGGTGTGACAGCAGTAAGGTGTTTCCCTTGGACAACCAGCATCTACAGCGATGCTGCCTTATCACAAGGAAGGAAGGGTTAGAAAAGGTCGACCCTAAAACTGTCACACCTCACCCTACCTCACGGATTTCCGTCTCCTGCGGTAAGGGTGCCCACTAAGGGCTTTTAAGAGCGGAGCTAATACTCAAAAAAACCTTTCATAAAAAGGCCGTGCGTGACCGGCCTTAAGCAGCTGTCCCTTGGGCTCTGTGGTCAAGCTCTCAGGTCTCCAAGACCAACACTAATCTATCTTCCTTTTCAGGTTCCTCAAGTAACAACCTTCCAC